TGAGGACCACGGTCTCATATTTGGAGGTGCTGATTTTCAGCCCAACCACTTGACACTCAATTGTGAATGGTTCCACTGAATGTTGACGACTCCGGCGTGGAGCCAAAGAACCACATAATCTGCAAAAAGATGAAATGCAAAACTGAGGTCAACACACCAGAATCCCTCGACGCCCTCATAAAGTCTGCCACTGAAGGTTACGAACAAAATCTGTGACAAAGGAGACCTTGGTGAAGTCCTACGTCACTGGAAAAAAAAATAAAAATCTGAATTAGTATGGAACAAACTCTCTTCACAAGATCCCACAGGGGGAATACATTCTTTCAGTCCACAAAGCATATGTAAGTGTCGTTGGGCAAACTTCCATACACCCTCGAGGACCCTGCTGAGGGTGTAGAGCCGGTACACTGTTCCACAGCCAGGAGGAAAACCACACTGCTCCCCAATAGCCTGCAGAAGGTGCATTGGCCCTGAGTCATATGTCAGGAAGGTTTTATTGGCAGCTAGTCACCTGACATTAAAGTTTTATCTAGAATGGTATGACGATTTCAGTTGTCACTGCCGTTACTATAGAGAATTGTGAACAGAAATAAAACTTATACTTTCACCAAGGCATAGCGAATAGAACATTAAAAGATCAGAACCTGCGAAAAACCTAAATTATTTTTTTTTCTGCAGGAGAGAACCAATGTAAGTAAAATGATTAACACAACAGTGATGGTGTGATGTTTTTCCTGCATTCGCCGCATCCAGTGCAATTATCTTTAAAAAAAAAAAATCAAAATCCACCCACACTGCTCTGGGCTCCTTTGCAGATATCGTCCTCATCTGGCCTGACCTTTTAACACAGGTGACTCAGAGTGGTGTCCTCTTCTACTTTCATGACTCACATCCTCTGTGTTCACTGCCAAAGAGACACAAGAAAACTGCAAGACTTAGAGACGCTAAATAAGGTTATTTTAATTTCCATCCATCCATTTTCCGATCCGCATCATCCTCACAAGGGTCGCGGGAAGTTCTGGAGCATATCCCAGCCGTCTTGGGGCAGTAGGCAGGGGACACCCTGAACCGGTTGGCAGCCAATCACAGGGCACATAGAGACGAACAACCACCCACGCTCACACTCACACCTCGGGACAACTTAGAGTGTTCAATCAGCTTGCCAACGCATGTTTTTGGAATGTGGGAGGAAACCGGAGTACCCGGAGAAAACCCACATGGGCCCGGGGCAAACATGCAAACTCCACACAGGAAGGCCAGAATCGAACCCTGCACCTCCACACTGTGAGGTCGACGCGCTAACCACTGGACCACTGGGCCGCTGGGTTATTTTAATTTGAAACAGGAAAATGTTTTTGGGTTTGTATGATAGCGATGAATGACGAAATGCTACAGTCATCCCCTGTTGAAGTCTTTTTGGGATGACCTGCCACTGAACGTTCGGCAAGCCGCTTCACTGCCCATCTTTGAAACTCGTCTTAAAGCTCATTTTTATTATTTGGCTTTTGACTCAGCATGACACTTGATTTTTAGTTTTATTTATTTTTATTTATTTATTTTAGTTTATTGTTTGTTGCAAGAGGTGGAAATCCAAACACACACACAGACACACACACACACACACACACACACACACACACACACACACACACACACACACACACACACACACACAGTATATAATAGCTATCTATCTAGCTATATTTCACTTCTTTGTTGTTTCTGCAGTGTTTAATTGTAATTAGTCAATCTGGTTGCAACTTTCTTTTAATTGGTATGATTCTTTCGACCTCTGAGTTTGTTTTGGCGCCACAATCATATTTAACACTGAAGTTCAATGTTCGCATTTCTGAGCAGCTCTGTTCTTTCCCCAAGCTCCAGACTTTCCATCACTTTGGTAAAGGTTAAATTGTGCATCAGCAATCCATAACACTTCCTGCCAGAACCTTTTGAGGCTCATCTCTGTACTTTTCAGCCTGGCCTTGTTTTTCTTCTCACTAATGAGTAGTTTGCATCTTTGGGTGCAGCCACTGCGCTTTTAGACCTGAAATTTTATGCAAACAGTAGATGGTGACACCATCACTTTACTTTTGCCCTCCAGAGGTTGTGATGTCACTCATAGTTTTGTTATTTGAAAGACGGGCTTCTTTACAACTGTCACAATGTTTCTGTCATTAACTTCTGCTGTTTTGCTTGATCTACCCATTTTGTGTTCTTTCTTCTCCCCAACATTCCATATAGTTGTATGTTTTTGCTGCAAACAATGTGTGTCAATGGCTACGACTGATTTTCCATCTTCTGTCACATTTGTTTGTTCTTCCCACATTGACACCTTTCTGGCTTTCATGTTGGTTGCACCTCCAAATAGTATGAATGTAGTCTTCACTGGCAGTTCTGAAACTGACCGTAGACATTTAGCGGTAGGCCCTGTATTGTTGAAACGATCATGGTACAGGTAAGAAGACTGACAAGGGCAACAAAACAGACATCCATCCATCAGGCACACTTCAAAAAAATGATTAATAAAAACAAAAGGGGTTAGCATCTCAGTTGTGAATGTCGTGCAAACACCTGGAAAAAAAAGGCTGAAATGTTGATGTCTTGTCTCATACTGGTGTACTCTACAACAAAAATAAAGGAATTGGCCTCTATGTGCAATTCTTCAAGGGAGTGGACAGTGTTTACAAGACAAGGAATTCTCCATTAAAATGATGCCAAGATGTGGTGATGCTTCCCCGCTGCACCCAAAATTCCACTTCCTGTACAATTCTTAACATTATGACCATTGTTAAAGAGGATGTGTTATGTAAAAAAAATCACTTTTAATTTGCTTGTAAAGTAAAAGCTGGGTCTCACACCCTGCCCATCCATCAAATAGGAAATTGTGCAACCAACTTTTGTCAGTTGCCTAATCTGAAAATGTGTCAGGGACATTTGAGTTCATGATGAAAATCTTTGACCCTCTTCCTTTTATAGGTTTAATGTTCAAACTACTCCAGAGTTGTCACGACAAGATCTCTGTCTGGGTGGCATGTTTAAAACTAGTGTTATGATTCCATTTTTTGGCCCCCCAATACCTGGCCGAATGTTCAGTATTTCCTGATGTGGATAGCGCACCGATATCATGACGTTTGGAAAAAAAATATATAAGAACATTTTTTCAGGTAATACTAAATAATCGCTTGGATGTAAAATCATTCATAGTTAAATCATTACTTCTGAAGTGTCTGCAGCAACACAGTTACTTGGGTCTCTGACCCACTCTGCCCTTGAAGTTGGTGTCAAAATGCTTGACTTCCACTGGGAGTTAATATTTGTCAACTGGAGGCATGTGAAACCATTTGAGACTTTTCTGTGACGAAGGGCTCTCTCTCTCTCTCTCTCTCTCTCTCTCTACACATTTGCCTTGACTTGACATTGTAAACAGAACACGTGTTGAATAAACAGTCTATTTCCATAGCTCTTCACGCTGGTGAGAGTGAGACATGCGGTAGATATTAACATGAATGTGGATTTGTAAGAAAGTTAGGTGCAACATTTGCACATCTAAAATATTAAATTCTGTGATTGTAATAGACCCCTATCGTGTGACATCACATTTGAATGCCGTGTGCAGCTTTTTTGTCAACCCATTCAAGTTTTAGTTCGCATTGCCGTTCATTGAGCTAAAAAAAAAAAAAACTGTACGTTGATGGAACATCATGGAACATTTTCTGTCGGTCTTGCACACATTTTCATACATAATCACGGCACTTTAGACTCGGACTTGATGTTTGCTGAGTGATGTGTTGCAAACAAGAGCCTCTCTTTGATAGCAGCTAGCAAGATAAGTGCAAGCTTTAAAGTCTTCAATGATGTAAAGTGGCGATGGACATACTGTGTCAACCAAAGTTCTAATCTAGTATCGGTAAATGGCATCGGCGCATTATTTATTAGTAGTCGCCAATACTAGTACTGCCGTATCTCTGTCCTCCAGGATGCTAGTACTGTATTCGTATCGGTGCCACACAGCCCATTTCATACAATAAGTTACTGAAACGTGTAAAATAGAAACACCGTTCCCATCACGAATAATGAGTCGTCACTGAACCGTGGACAAATATGCATGCATTTTTTTTTTTTTCTTGTGCAATGGTTGCAATCCAGTCACTCTCACTCCCCATAGCTTTCCCGTAACCAAGCAGAGGAGGGGAGAGACGCACAGAATGCCTTTTCTGTCCTCCTCCACTGTTTGGAATTTTGCACTTTTTCGAATATCTCAACCAATTATTCTTTCACCCTTGCGTGACTCTATATTTGTGGCCTTTGGCATCTTGTCATTTTCCATTCTGTCGGGCCTTCTGCCTGCCATCTGCCTTTGGCATTGCTCCTCCTCACTGGCTTTCAATTAAATAAACAAACGATGAAAGAGTTTGTCCTTTGGAAGGCCCATTGTGACCTTTGTGAGCACCCACTAAGTTCATTTCCTTGTGGGAAAGAAATACACATATATACTTTCAATACAGAAAAACAAGTGCTGCGGTGAATGTGGATTTGAATACATTTAAACTCAAACGAGAGAGCAAACTGAATGTCTCTTCAAAAAATACAACTGACCACAGCTATGGAAAAACAATTTTAGTAGAGCTGACGCTCCAGTTTCAGTTCCTTTTGGTGCTGTTTATGTAATACCACCACCTGGTGGAAAAGGGGCTTATGACGGCACAGAGAACTCACCAGAGCCGAGAAATAAAATAATTAATTGAGTTAAAAAAAAAAAAAAAAAAAAAAAATCCAAAGAGTACAAAGCAACACTTATGTTAAGATTTGTGCAACGTAAGTCATATTGAGACAGGAAAATTAGTCAACGTTAGCTTTTTATTCACATAAGAAAATATTCTCACAATATTGCAATTACCTTCTCAAAGTTCTTGTAGTTATTACAAAATATACATTTTGTTATTACAATGTAATAACATTAATGTATTTTTTTTTGTATTTTTTTAAATTCCATTTTTCCCTCAACATTTTTCAAATTTCAAACAAATTTAAAATAATAGCACAAATCAACTAAATTTCCACCAGATAAGGGTGGTTCCAAGCAAAAAGTATAATTCCATTACTGCCATCTTTGAAATGGCGTAGAAGAAAGAAATGGATAATGTATGAGCTTCAAAGTGAGTGTAAACACAGTCCTTAGCTCAGAGGCCACAACCTATTTATGAACACAATCGATATGCGTGCACACACATCATGTCCTTATGAGTAAGGAAGTCCACTTGTTTTCTATTTTACTAAGTTAAAGGTGGCTGCTTGACCTGATCTTGCTCCTTCAGCTCTGTGCCGCGGTTGCGGCTCTCCCGTGCCTCCTGTTTGTCACCCCCCCACCACTGTTTCACGAGACTGTTGAGCTTCTCCAGGATATCAATGGAGTGGTTGATGATGAGCGCCAACCAGGCCAGGCCGAAGAATATCCAGGAGGCCATGAGGACGCTGTACCACTGTGGGTACACGTGATCTGGGTTACTGTCTGCAAATAAAACATTCAAATATGATGACGAAGGTAGCGATAAAGCTTTGATTAGTGTGCTCTGAGATTTACCAGCCACAAAGTCTCCAAAGCCGATGGTGCTGAGCGTGATGAAGCAATAGTAGATGGCCTGTGAGTAGGTCCAACCTTCATGAAGCTGGAACACCAGCATGGGAACAATGAAGAAGAAGAGGGCTCCGGACAGGTAAGACACCGAGTGGACGAAGAAGCGTGAGCAACTCTAAGCAGAGAAAAGGAGGCGGTGAAGTGGCAACAAAACGATGATGAAAGAGATCCTCACCCGTTTGCCAGTCTTCCTCTCGAGGAAGTCGGAGGTCTTCCGTTCAATGACGACCATGTACTTGCCCACCCTGTTGAGCACCACCATATTGAGTGGGATGCCAAATAGGGCGAAGAACACGCAGAAGATCTGACCAGTAGTAGAGCTGGGACTCATGTTTCCATAACCTGCAAATGATAAACATTTGAAGATTGCAGAAGATTGCATTCTCAATATTTGTCATCCATCTCAGGGGGGCATCCACAGCCCCCAGCAAGAAAGCAAGAATACACTTCACCCATGTGTATCAGCCAGCGACCCCCCACACCTCCCAAAAAAGGATCATGCAGCACAACGGGCCAGCAGAATTAACTGATCTAACTAGCTAACTAACTAACCTATGGTTGTGACCACAGTGGCGGCAAACACAGCCGAGCTGGTGAATTTCCAAAATCCGTCTGTGGTGCCGTTGCCTTTCAAACTCAGGCCCACTTTAGAAGCATCTCGAATAACCTGGGGAGGAAGAAAAACAACACAAAAAAACCAAGATGCCTGCTGACACAGTGTTGACATTTGTTTTCTTGGGGTTTGTGCTCGGGTCAAGACACTTCTCAGAACTCAGTGATCAGTGACTTACATAACAGTCATCATCTCTGTGAGAAATACAACCAGGAAAGAGAACTGCCTTACATTGACGAGCTTGCGAGCTTCAACATATAACAGCAATGATACAATAGAAAAAAGGTGACATTTCCTCAGTTGCTTTCACTACTTAAGAAGAGTTTGTTCCATTTCTTACATTTAATCACTGATATCTGCTACTTTGTACTTCCTATTTTGTCAAAATAGGTCCATGAATTTTTTGAACCTCCGTGGATGAAGCCCCAACACCATAACGATGAAAATGCAGCAAATTTGAAGAAGCAAGATATTCCCCATCCATGGCCCATTTGAGAATTATTTGAAGTGGTCGACATCAAGAATAATACACGGTGAATGTTTTGTGGCTTGTGCCGACCTTTAAAACAACTTATACCTTTCAAAAATTCGAAATCTGATCATTAGCTAATTTACCAATTTTTACTCGTCAGTTCACAATGCTGTGGGAACAAACACATTGTTTTCATAATTGTCCAGTGGACCCCCCGTCCCCCGCCCCCCTCCCCAGTTCTTAGTGAAAACACTATAAGTTTAAGCAAGGAACGTTTTTCGCACGCAGAGAACTTTTTTTTTATTATTATTGCACCAAATTACCAAAATGTGTATAGTAAATCATTGAAATATATATATATATATATATATATTCTGAGCCTTATACTATTTTACTTTTACTTAAGCAAAGGAGTTGAAACGGTGCTTCTGCTTTTTACCAGTCGGTTTTCACAGAAGTGAGCACTTTTGCCACCTCTGGATATCAATTCACCCCATTTCATTCCTTTGACAAACCTATAGCGGCACATTTATTAGAACACAGTTGGCTATCAATAAATTAACCAACAGTCTGAATCGAATAGTTAAAACCTGAATAATGGAATAAACCTTATTCTTGCTCTCCCAATGGAGAAATGGCAGCAAAGTGGAGAGAAGAGATTTTAGATCAAACAATGACACTGAGCAGAATGAGCAGCAAGAGTGCATGTTCGGTTAATTGAATATAAGGTGCTTGAACCATTCCAACACCAGTGACTCTTTCTTTCTTTTTTGTCAGTTTGACCTCAAAGGTATTGCCCGACTTGCATCTTTTCCCAAATAAGATGTTGATTCCGCAAATGATGGGAAGGGAATATTAAAGTGTCACAATGAAAGATGTGCTTTAACTTGGCAAGAGCAGTTAGTTTGGCCACTACTGTGAGTGAAAACTGAACATTGAGCATAAGACCATGACATGCAGTTATTCGAGCTGTCATCGTCACCAAAGCAAAATTTCCTTTGGCGAGGATGTGCGGTAAATAAAACTCAAGGATGTGGTGCGCATTTGGAAGTGAATGATGGTTCAAATGTGGCCCGAGGGCCCAACTATGAACAGGACACGGTCAGGGCTTTTCGTCCTATCACTTTTCAATATGTGTGACATCTTGTAGAGAAATAACTGAGCAGCTGGCAAGAGGAATTGTGATAATGACATGCCAATTACAAATGAATCGGATGCTAAATTAAAATTAAACTCTTTCACAGGCTCACTGGCATGCACTAAATAAAGCGGCTGTAGAAATAGGGCAAGAGCAAACAAACATGTTTTGCATAGCAACAGCTTAAAAGAGCATCTGTTGAAGTATTTTAATAGGAGACATGGAGTCTGAAAGAAAGTTGTATAAACAGCAAAAAAGCAAAGCGGTCAGATGGAAATCAGGTGGTCCCCCATTTAAAGGCTTGGGATGATAAGTGAAGGCAATGGCAGACTTAAGAATGGAATCCTTCAAATATTGGCAGGCAATACTTGTCTTGAAGTGTAGAATTTCAACAGATGTCATGCTCAAGATCTTGTCTGTCTTAGTTCTTCTATTTGCTCTATGCATCCATTCATCCATTCATCCATCCATTTTCTGTACAACGTATCCTGTGCAGGGTGCAACGTCGCTAAAGCCAACTCCCAGATTACTTCTGGCAGACTACAGTCTGGAATGGACGCCAATCAATTACGAGGCACATTTCGACAAACTATCATTTACACTGTCACTGAGTGGGAACTGAACCCACGCACTGAACCATGTTTTTGGAAGCAACACGGGAAGCCGGAAATGGAGTGTCATGTTTTGCGTGATGGTAGGTGGAGGACCTCAAGAAGCAGGGAGGCAGGGAGGAGCAGGGTGGACTTAATGAAATGTATTTAACAAAAATACAAACAGGAGTAAACTGGAAAAAAACTAACTGAAATACTCAAAGTCTTGAAAACCACAAGGGACCAAAGCAGCAAAAAAAAAAAAAAACACTATGACAGAAAACAAAACATGACAGAAAACAAAACGTGCGCACATGCACGCACACAATGATCCGACCAAGACTGACAGAACCCAGGGAACTAAATACAAGCAAAGTGACGAGAGAATGAGAAACACCTGGACAAGACACAAAGGGTCGAGGGAGCTGATTGGTTAAACACAAGGGACACGGATGACGAGAACAGGTGGAGACAAAAAAGGGCACATGAGGAAACAAAACCAAATGTGATCTAAACAAATACATCACACGGATATTCGACCTCAAAACTGTGATGCCACCATACTGCCCCATGTATTTAAAGCTAATGTACAATATATAGTATGCTAAGTTTCTTTCTTAAAACCATTTATAACTCCACTTACCATTCAGACTTTTCCTCACTAATAAACTGTGAGAAATTCCATGGGTCTACTGTCTTACATCTCAAGTTTAAGTTACCAAATCGGATTTGTCTTAAAAGGCGATATATAGCAGGGGTAGGGAACTCCGGTTTGTCGAGAGCCATATCTTTTCTGTTTTAGAGCTCTCCCAAATCCAACACACCTGATTCAATTGATCATGATCGTTTTAGGCTTCTCCAGAGCTTGCTGATGAGCTGATTGTTTGAATCAGATGTGTTGGAGGAGGGAGAGATCTAAAACAGGCAGGATATGGCTCCCAAGGAACCGGAGTTCCTGACTCCTGGGCTATAGGGAGATGACAGAACAGAAGAGAAATCTGGCAATTGAACTGCTACCCCATCAGAAACGCTATACGTCACCCTCACAGTTGGGATTCCAATCTTGGCTCGAGCCTCCTTGTGTGATGCTTGCGTGGCTTTTCTCCGGTTAGCCTCCTTCCCACATTCCAAAAGTCGGCTCGTAAGATTTGGTCACGACGTTGAATTGCCCAACAATGTGAGTGTGAATGGTTTCGTTTATCTGTGCCCTGTGATTGGTGGGGTGTAGATGGGATAGGCACCAGGTCACCTGAGACCCAAGTGAGGTTAAGCGGTATACAAAACGGATGGCTGGGTGAACGTCCATCTACACAGTGGGATTTAAGCATTGGGACAGCACACCGGTTAGTCTTAGCGATCTTCCTTACCTGTGCCGCCTCCTCAAGGCCATCTTGGTCCAGACACGTGTACGTCGACAACAGCTTCTCTTTGTTCATCAATAAGAGACTGATGTCCTTCTCCCCGAGATCCCCCTCCAACTTCCAAAATACCACCCCGCCAATGAGTACATAGGCCACATAAACCACCCCCAGAATAAGGATGGAGGGCACTCGGGCCAAATTGAACTTTTCCTTTATTTCCATCTTGATTCCCTCCTGAAGATTTTTTTTTTGGGGGGTGGGGGTGGGGGGAAACTCCAGGTAGAGGCCAGAGCTATCGGCTTTGGACAACAAGGCGAAAGAGTTGACCGCACAAATGAAAAGGCAAATCAAACTCCACCCGCGCTACTCTTTCAATCACATCAGAGGGCTCTCATGCAAATTTGGCGAAGAGTGATGGCTGGATGTCAGATTTTAGGCTTCTCCAGAGCTTGCTGATGAGCTGATTGTTTGAATCAGATGTGTTGGAGGAGGGAGAGATCTAAAACAGGCAGGATATGGCTCCCAAGGAACCGGAGTTCCTGACTCCTGGGCTATAGGGAGATGACAGAACAGAAGAGAAATCTGGCAATTGAACTGCTACCCCATCAGAAACGCTATACGTCACCCTCACAGTTGGGATTCCAATCTTGGCTCGAGCCTCCTTGTGTGATGCTTGCGTGGCTTTTCTCCGGTTAGCCTCCTTCCCACATTCCAAAAGTCGGCTCGTAAGATTTGGTCACGACGTTGAATTGCCCAACAATGTGAGTGTGAATGGTTTCGTTTATCTGTGCCCTGTGATTGGTGGGGTGTAGATGGGATAGGCACCAGGTCACCTGAGACCCAAGTGAGGTTAAGCGGTATACAAAACGGATGGCTGGGTGAACGTCCATCTACACAGTGGGATTTAAGCATTGGGACAGCACACCGGTTAGTCTTAGCGATCTTCCTTACCTGTGCCGCCTCCTCAAGGCCATCTTGGTCCAGACACGTGTACGTCGACAACAGCTTCTCTTTGTTCATCAATAAGAGACTGATGTCCTTCTCCCCGAGATCCCCCTCCAACTTCCAAAATACCACCCCGCCAATGAGTACATAGGCCACATAAACCACCCCCAGAATAAGGATGGAGGGCACTCGGGCCAAATTGAACTTTTCCTTTATTTCCATCTTGATTCCCTCCTGAAGATTTTTTTTTTGGGGGGTGGGGGTGGGGGGAAACTCCAGGTAGAGGCCAGAGCTATCGGCTTTGGACAACAAGGCGAAAGAGTTGACCGCACAAATGAAAAGGCAAATCAAACTCCACCCGCGCTACTCTTTCAATCACATCAGAGGGCTCTCATGCAAATTTGGCGAAGAGTGATGGCTGGATGTCAGATGTGACTATTTTCAGCTTGGGATACATACAATTGCTGACAAACGTCATGTCAAGACCAATATTTGGCTGTTATACACAAAACAAAACTTGAAGTGATACTGAACCTGTAACCATTGTAAATAGCACAACCACTTTATGCTAAGTTTTCTATGCTATTGCTAATTTATTATTTTTATTCTACAAATATATTGCTATTGCTATATTTTATATTGCACTTATATTGAATTGTGTACAGTTCTTTTCTGGAAGAAAAGAACTGTACACACACACAATTCACAATTTTGCTGCTATAGACTGCTAATTTTCCCAGTGTGTTACAAATAAAAGTTATCTTATTTTATAAATGTCATCCTTAAAGGCAAGTTTTCTTAGTGGTTGAAACAGAAGGGGGTGACAAAGGGACACTTGTGTCCAAACCTCCTAAAATGTGCCACTTTTCTCCTTTTTTTTCCTGGGATCACTTCTGCATGTAATGTGCTCTCAGGCTACCTCACAACCTGATTAATGTGTTTGCTTTAGATAGCACAAACACGCGCTATTCACCGGAGTTTTCCGTCGACACACAAACACAGATGTTGACTCGTGTTAATGCGTATGCGGAGCGGGGATAGTAAGTCTATGCACCCGTGTTCAAATGGCAGGTTTTTATGGTATTAAAAAAAAAAAAAGAAAACCTTCTTTGCAGCATTAATGTGGCCTATGACTTCATTTCAAGTGGGGATACACACACTTGCCAACATTTAAAGTACAAGTATCCTTTTCCTAACGTTTTTGTAGTCACGTTTTACATCACTGGCCAGAGTCTGCAGACAGCTTACGGCATGAGATGGATCTCATTGTTCAAAAGTATAAGTCAGAAGAAGGGTACAAACGAATTTCCAAAGCATTACATAGACCACGGCACACAATGAGGATAGTCATCAGCATTTGCATATAATATGGCATAAAAGTGACATGACAAAGAACTGGTCGTCGCTCCACAACTGATGAAAACTACCAAGGAGGCTGCCAAGATGCCGATGTCACCGTTGACGGACAAGGAAAGAAAAATACATCTAAACAGGACTAGATTTTGTTAAAAACAGACTTGAGATCTCCCAAACGCATGTGGGGGGGGGGGGTTTGATCCGATGAAAACAAGGTTGAACTTTTTGGCCATCATTCCAAAAAGTATGCTTTGTGCCTACACACCTGTGATACCACCAAAAGAACACCATATTTTCAGAACAGTGAAGCATGGTGGCAGAACAGTGAAACATCCTTTGAGGGTCTTTTTCTTCAGGTCGAACAGGATGGAGGGGAAACAGTCGCCCAAAATTCTCATTGGGATGCAATACAGTTCGACACCGCTGCAAGCTACAATTACAACAATAAACATTATAGGTAAACAGCGTCAATCAAAATTGACCGTTATCGTTATGTTCGTTTGATACAGCTCTACCCAATAAAATGTTCAAGGGTTATTACAATAAAGAGTACGTACAGAAATAGAACAGAAACAATTTCAGAATGATGACAATAATTCCACAACAATCCCAACCTTTCTCAGACTTCAATGTTTGTACAATGCGTGGTGACTCTGTATGGCTTTTTGAGGTAGACTCGTCAAACAGGAGTGTTTTGCTTGCCTAAGCAAAGTTGGATCGCAAAGAGGCAAATGTACAATATTAATGAGTGAGGGCAGAATGAGTTTGTGTGTTGTACAGTCATGCATGCCACATAAAAAAGTCTGAAGTGTAAATAGAATTTCCCTCTGGGGATAAAATAAAACAGCGTAAAATATATACTTCAAATTCACCGCGTGAATATTCCAACCAAGCTCGAGTGTCAGATCTTGGAGGTGTCTTCCAGTTTATTGGATGACACATCGTCCTCCCCCTCTTGTTTCTTAAAGCCTGGATGAGTCAAGCCGATCACATGAGCCATTATTCTTGATCCCATGCTGAGGATCAGAGCAAGCCAGGCCAAGGCAAAGATGATCCAAATGCCTGCCAAGCTACGGTACAGAGAGATGTATTCCTTGCCTGGGTCAGTCCCTGTGAGAAGAGACCTCTTTTTAGCATACTTTCCATTGACGAGCTTCCGGTACTCACAAGTCACATGATCAACCTTAAATCAACAATATGTGTTAGCTTTACCATTTTATGCTTGTTTATCTTGATGGTGCAGTGGATTTTAATTAGGACACTAGTGTCTCATTGTGTTACTGACCCGGCAAACACCAGTGACCTGAAAGAGAGAAGCTGCGTGCAACCCATGAAAACTACTCCCTCAGATGAATGTCTGTCTTTACAATGTTTTCTACGACTCAACACAGAGTTGAGTAACTACTATGTAGTTAATCAATTACATAATTCATGTGTGTAAACAAATATGCATTATAGTTGCACTAAGCTATAAATAATAATTTTGATGTACAGCCCAGTTTGTGTGACATTTCCAAATTGTCAAATAAGATAACTCTGGAGGTCAGATACACCTTATTACACAATATTAAGATACTACTTGTCTGTGTATGAAGAGCTCCAGTGAGATTTGAATGAGAATTGATAATTGGCGTGCTTCAGTCAAGTGCACCCCTAAAATTACATTTGATGCAAGGCAAAGGTGCGAGGGTACAAGTCACGTGGGAGATTTATAAGGTGCATGTGTGACTCATACATATTGCGTGTTATAAAGAAGTAACCTAAGAGACAAAATAAGTAAAAGTGTGTTCATGTCGTCTCCCAGGTTGCCTGCCTAGCAAACCAAATGGCCGTTGTGATGGTTTTGTTATAACCGTATTGGCCCGAATATAAGACGGCCCTGATTATAAGACGACCCCCTTTTTTTCAAGACTCAAGTTTGAAAAAAGCCTTTTTGAACACCAAATTAATTTTTATACAGAAAATAATTACAGTACATATGAAACAAATGATTATAACAATATATTTGAGAGAAAAAGCATGTTATTTTGCCTCATTCAAATCTTAATATCTGAACATTTAAATATGTAAACTAAAGTGCAATCATATTCATAAATGAATGCTTCGGGTTCTCCAGATTGTCGCTACGTTTCTCCATTTTCTGTTGTCTCTTCTATTATTTTCTTCTCTTTTCTTTCTTACCGCTTTTTTTTATTTTTCTTCTTCGTGACAGGCCTGGGGAGTCAAGTTCAGCATTCTCTTCAATGATATCTGGCGCCATCTAGCGTCGTAAATGGGTATAATGTCCAGACCCCGAATATAAGACGACCCCCACTTTTTCAGTCTCATTTCAATGCAAAAAACACTGTCTTATATTCGGGCCAATACGGTATTAACGACACACGTCTGTGGGGTGTAATCCATTGGCAATGGAGAATAATTCCACCAAGCCTTTGTGGGGCAAATGTGAATGTTGCATCAACCATCCAGAATCTATTTCCATCCAAGCAATCTATTTGTGATCTTCCTCACCCAAGCCAATCAATGTGAATCGCTACAAACGTGCTTCTTTTGCGCTCTGTACTCACCCACCACATAATCTCCAAACCCAATGGTGCTGAGGGTAATGAAAGCAAAGTAGAAGCCCTCGCCAAATGTCCAGCCTTCCACGTAACTGAACAGAAGCGGAGGGATGACCAGAAACAGCAGACTACCGGTGATGAAGAAGGAGCTCACTGCCAACGCCTCCACAGTTTGCTACAGAGGAGCACAGCATACTTGGACATTCCACACAGAGCCGAACAAAACAGACGTTACCCCCAAGAATGCAAGTTTATCCTTGATGTATAACAGTATTACCTTGTGTGGAACCACGGAGACCATGCCTCGTTCTAGACGTCCCAGGTGAATGGTGAGACATTTTCCCAGCTGTTTGAGGAAGGCCAGGTTGAGCGGGATGCCACACAGCGCATAAAAGACACAGAATACCTGACCGGACACAGTGCTGGGAGAGAGGTTACCATAGCCTGTGAATCAATAGAAGATTTGTCATTCAGCACGGGTCGGGACATTCAAACAATGGTAGGCCAAAAAGGCTCTCACCTATTGTTGTGACCACAGTGCCAGCAAAAAAGAAGGCACTGCTAAAATCCCAATTACTGGGGTTCGTCGAGTTGCCTGAGGGATTCACACCCCTCTCCCAGGCATCTAAAATCACCTGCGAATGCATAGTAACGTTTTTTTTTTTTTCAAATACCACTCCATTTTTTAAACACAATTACAAAATGCGGTGCCCTTATTAATACCCTATCAGTACTTATACATTCTGTTGCCAAGCCAGACTTCACAAAAAGACAAAAACAGAACAAGGGACTATAATGCAGGGAGAATCAGGAAATTATCCAATTTTACTCCATTTGTCTGCAAATTATTACAGGGTATTTTTTTTACTGTGCTAATCTATCTTTGTTCGTTGATGTATGCCAGCGACATACTGTGACAGGCAGAACAATTAAATGGCAGAGGGTTAAAAAAACAGTCTATCCAATTGTTGCCATTCAAACAATAGAACAACTTCTGGCACGATCAATTAAACTAGCATTGATTTCCACCTGGGTAAGCCGATTTTTATTAAAGTAAATTGAAACAACCGTCACCATTGAAGCATTCATAGATTTTGTGACATTATTGTTTGGTGGAGTGTCATGAAATCTTTCCAAAGGTGCTTTTGCTCAATAACAGTTGGGACACACTGCCATAGAGGCTGTGAGCTATATGCAGGACAGGAAAAGACAAACACTAGAGCATGGATGAGGTATGACATCAGAAAAGTGTTGTGTCCCAGAATAATAAAAGGGTGATGCCATGGAATCACTATCAAATCATCGCGTTTTATCAATGCCTTTGGCAAGAAAATAAAATCAAATTTCATGTTTCCAATCAAGCCATCCATTTTATTTTTTTCAAGTTTGAATTCCTCAAAAACAGCACTGGTATTACATGACTTGAACTCCACTAACAGTAAAGTACAAGACATACACAGTAAAACCCTGACAAGGTTGATTTATTCGATCATTTTATTAGCGTGTCCTTCACCCGTATTGATCTTTTGCTTTTTTTTTCTTTTCCTCCTCAAATTTACTCAATGATTAAAACAGACTTGTGTCAACAAGCTGTTGACAGGGTTACAGTGCTACACTAACTAAGCCGTCTGTTTATCATTGCATTTATGACAAGGTTTTTCTCGCCAACAGTTTAACAAGACAAGAACAGAAAACAAGCCAAACCTGAACAAACTTCTCCAAAGCAGGTCCATCCAGGCAGGTGTAATTAGCCAAGAAATTCAGCTTCTCCAGTTGGAAGTGGTTTCGATTGTTGCTCTCGGCCTCTCGCTCCAGAATCTGGAAAATGATGGCTCCAAATAACAGGTAGGTGAGGTGGGCCAGAGCCAAAAGTACCGTCCAGCTCACTTTGACACGGACCAGCTGGATCCTCGCCATCAAAAACTTTCCCCAAAGCCACAATGGGCACACAGGCTGGTGATCAGATTGAGAAGTATATCTGAAGAAAAAAATTTAACGTCAAAGGGCTTTGAGTAGACATCAAAGATCAGCATATTTGGACGTATCCCACGGAGACTGATGCCATTACTATTGGGGAAAAAAAGTATTTTTCTAATATGTGAGTTTAATATACAAGTCTTGGTCTTGAATAAAGCTGCATCTTTTGACCAGTGGATTGCTCTCCAAAGGTAGAGCATCCCCGCTAGCTGCTCTTCCTCTGATTGGTCAGAGAAGCCTAGTATCTGCTGGGACATGATTTATGGGTCGCTCGGGTGATGACTAAACACCTCTTCTCCATTAGGGTGACATCTGGACACACACAGACAACGGTTTCAACCGTTTCTACTAATAAGGAAGCATCTTGTCTGGGGAACAAAAGTTAATATTTCACCTGAATGCTGTCGGGCGGTTAAGCAGTTAAGTAGAGCTGTGCACTGCAAGGACACCGACAAGTCGAGTGGAAACCCAGGGAGAATGTAAATCCACCACAAATGATTTAAAATCCTTGTGGAAATTGCCAAAATAATACAGACTTGTGCCACGGCTTGACATGTGTCAAAGGGGAGTAATTGCATGTCATTAAGTCTGAAAGCTTCATTTGTTTTTTCTAAATCAATCACGCCTGCTAGAACAATCCTAGAACGTCTTTACCAGATTGAGAAGGTGTTCGTGTTATGGTTGAATGGGAAGAAAAGAGTTGACATTTTGGAGAGGTGGGCTGCGGGTTACTTGACTGTGAGCCAAAGTGAGGAGTTGCAAGATGCCTCAAGATGGAACCTATTGGATTTCTGTGGCTTTTGTCTTTAAAAAGCATGAAAAGAATCAGAGCATGCCAACAAGAATTGGTGTTATTGTCAATGATTTTTACAGGACTGCTATCCTTCGAGGGTCACTGATGGTAATGGCACAGCCCCTGACTTGTATGTAGGGGTTCACATCCCACTTGGTGATGGTGTGAATGTTTGTCTCTATATTTGCCCTGCAACTGACCTGCAGCCAGTTCAAGGTATGGTCCGCCTTTTTAGGATAGGTCCCAGCACCCTTTGACCACAAACAGGATAAGCGGTGTTTAAAATGGATGAATGAATGGATAGATGCAATCCTTTTTGAGATGGGTTAATAATGCTGTAGGGAAAAAGAACACAGTTAGGTTTGTGGCATTTGCCAATGTTTACAGCACAACATAACACTAATTTAACAATCATAACATTAGGTACACCTAGATCAGTGTTTCACAAACTTTATTGAGCCAAGGCACATATTTCACAATGGCAAGCGTTGCAAGCATCAAATTCGCAATTAGAGAACATTTACAAAAAAATAAAATAAAAATTAGGTGAATTAGCTTGAATGTAGGCGGCCCGATGGACGAGTGGTTAGCATGTTGACCTCACAGTGCAGCGGTACCGAGTTCGATTCCAGTGTGGAGTTTGCATGTTCTCCCCGTGCCTGCGTGGGTTTTTGCTGGGTATTCCGGTTTCCTCCCACATTCCTAAAGCATGCGTGGCAGGCTGATTGAACACTCTAAATTGTCCCTAGGTGGATGGTTATTCGTCTCTGTGTGCCCTGCGATTGGCTGGCAACTGGTTCAGGGTGTTCCCCGCCTACTGCCCGAAGACAGTCGGGATAGGCTCCAGCACGCCCCGCGACCCTTGTGAGGATAAAGCGGTTCAGAAAATGGATGAATGGATGGATAGTTTGTACGTCTTGTCTTTGTATTGTATTCATTGAATATATTTTGAAAAAGATTTGCAAATTATTGTATTTTGTATGTATTTATTCACATTTTACACAATGTCCCAACTTGATTGCAATTGGTTTTGTGTTATATACTGATAATACATTTGAAAAGTCTTGTAATGTCCATTCATTGCTTTTCTATTCCCTTTGCACTAGTGCATGGGTGAAGGGTGATCTGGAGACGCATCCCCGGCTTGCCATCAGCCAATCACAGTGCACATACAGACAAAAAAACATTCATCCTCAAAATGGACAAATTTTACTTTTTTGATCAGTGCATGTAGTGTGTAAGGATGCGATGCGTGCATAGGAACTATTTCACATGAATTCCACCCGTCAGAAAATGCTGTTCAAAACAGACAAACATGAAGAAAACCACCAGATAAAATAACATTTGGCATGACTTTACGAAGACACAGTCTTTCTCCAAGGCAACTCCGATGCGGCGATGCAAATTGTGCAGCTGCTTCATCTGTCAAACAAATCAATGCAAAGTCATACAAACAGATTGTTCCCACGTGGTCGCTCTCTCTTTGGAGCTGGGTGTCCAGCAACAGCTCTGAGGAGGCTGGATGCCTTGATTTTCATGACCCGCAGATGCTGACAGATGCAATGAATCAGTCAGGAGCTTTAAGGCAGCCGGATGGGATGAATCTGCATCGCTGGGATGGAATTTGCATTAATGTAGGAAAGAAAACAGCATAAATAGCACAACTGGGTCTTGCTCATACCTACCAATCCGCCCAGAGGTGCACAAGCGGGGCTTAAAGGAGCACTTTTACATGTATTAAAATGAAGACGGCAGTCCAACTGTTTACAGTTCATGAAACACCCACTGTCATTCGCAGGGACATTTTTGGAAACAATTGTAATTTAACTACTGGAAGCCTATATTGACTCTATGCGTTGTACGAGATTCTGTGTCAGAATCGTAATACAATAGCCCTAAAAAATTCTGAGGGGTACTTTAGCAAAGTTTATTATAGGGCGATTACTGATATTGTACTTAGCTACACAATTGGAGTATATTTACACTAGCTTAACTGCAGTATAACCACCACAATAATAACAATAATATCAATTGATCCATTTTGTACTGCTTCTCCGGGTGAACTAGCTCCAATCCCAGTTGATGATAAAGAAAAGTAATATTATCTCATTACAGTTCATCAAAACCGAGCTTTTTTTCACCCATGGCTTCTTTTTAGAGCTATTTATATTTCCAGCCATCTGACAGTTTTCCATGCATAATTTATGTTGGTGTACATACTAACACTTAAGAAGTTACAACTGATGACATGCTGACGCCAGCTGGCTTCCTCTGTTGTCTCTCCTCTCATATCTTAGAACAACATTTGTTCAGATCAAATGGACGACGGGGCTTTGATTTATGTTGTTCTGTTGCTCAATCAGTTCCCTGGCAGTGACTCGAGCAAGATGTGTGTCGGCACCGGACCCTTTTCTTGAGTCGATGTTTAGGAACCACTTGTGATTTTTCTTCCCCGTGTCTGCATCATCGAGTGTCAATGATGCTCAATATGTCTTCTTGTATGAAGGACAACTTGAAGTCTCCTGGGTTTCCAAGTGACTTGATGTTACTTCTGAAGAGCACCTGAAATATGAAAGTCACATGTCAAAACCACTTTTTGGGAAATCAAAGAGAAAATTATTGAAAAGCTTGATTCTCCATCCATAAATAATTTGCTTTTTGTATCAGTAGCATTAAGCCTATACTCCATTTGTGAGTTAAACCCTTTTGAAAGGTTAGATAGGATTTTTATATTTAGGATAGTTTGATAGGATAGATAGAAGAACAAATAGAGATTTTATATTTAGGATAGTTTGATAGGATAGATAGAAGAAGTAACAAAATAACCCCAGGAAGGAACTTGTTGTCAAAGCTAAATCACCATCACCTCAAGCATGTAAATAAGCCTTTCGTCACCAAAGAAGTAGATAGTGGAAAGAAAAGCTGGAACCTCGGAAGGCAAATTTCTTCCTCGATTTGTTTTCTTGTCTGATGTTCTTCTAAACCCACTCCATTAGCCTCTCTGTGTATACTCTATGAGCTCAGCCTATCTGGATATCTGGTGGCAAACCACAAGACTTCCAAATCCACTTTAATATCTGCCAAAGCAAGCAGCTACTCAAAAGGTCAACTCGAAGGATTGACCAAGAATTAGCGGTTCATGAAAGACAACCGAGTATGTCTTCTGGACAGATCATGCTGCATGGCGTAAAAAAAAAAAGAAAAAAAAAAAAAAAAAAGATAAACTGAACTGAAATTATTCAGCCCATTTGTGGTATATAATCAGGCTTCTATATGACAGAGTTGATGTTTGCCAGAACATTTGCTCACTCAGTCAAGAAAAGAGGCTGTGGAAAAAAACTCGTTCCTGTTCCCTCCAGAGGGCAGTGTTGATTGTTAAATTAGATGTTTCAAACGATCAGCCTCTCCAGTGTTTCCCAACCATTACTGAGCCAAAGCACATAAATTGTAATAATAATAATGACGCATTTTACTTGGAAGTGCCTTTCAAGAATCCTCAAGGCATTGGACATCCGTAAAACAAGAGTTAAAAACAGAATTATACAGAGGAAATAAAACAAATAAAAAGCACAATGCAGTGCAGTTTCAGTGAGTAGGTGATCCAAAATATGTGCGTTTTGAGTTTGGATTTGAAAGTGGTAAGAGAGACTGATTTGCAAAGGTGGGGTGGTAAAAAGTTTCAGAGCTGGGGAAATGAGTGGCTGAAGGTCCTGCGTAGACTAGAGTGGTAGAGGAGGTCAGACAGGTATGGAAGGGCAAGATTGTGAATGGCTTTGAAAGGGAGCTGTAGCTTTAATTGAATTCTAAATTTAACTGGGAACCAATAAAGCTGATGGAGGACGGGGTGATGTGATGGAAGGAGGGGGTTCTTGTTATGATACGTGCAGCAGAGTTCTTGACCAATTGAAGCTGATAGAGGGACTTGTGAGGGAGGCTGAAGAGGAGAATGTTGCAGAATTCATAATGGGAGGTGACAAGGCATGTGGACAAGAATAGAAGTGGTTGCGGGGGAGAAGGGTAGGTGGAGTTGTTTGATATTGCAGTTGGAAGTAAACTGACAGGGTTGTGACATTGCTATGCTGATGGTATGATAGTGTGCTGTCGAGGATGACGCCCTGACTCTTAACCGGAGGGGAAGGGGAAACTCGAGAGTAGAGAAATTGCTAACTTTGGATAATGCATGTGCCAACAAGAGGAACTTCTCTTTTCTAACTGTTTAGCTTCATGTAGTCAGAGGTGAAGTTTCTGCGAAAAACATCAGGTGAAGGAGGACATGACATGCTGTGTTTACAAGAAAAGTAGAGCTGGGTGTCATCCGCAAGGCAATGAAAGAGGATATTAAACTTAGGGGAAATGGTCCC